CACGTGTGTGCACAAACGCATGGGATGAGGAGACAGGAGCAGATTCATTTCTGAAACCTAAAGAAGGTTTTAACAAAATGTTCTCTATCTTAATTTTCTAGTCTTTATTCCCTTATTAGCTGGTGATCTGAAGCTATTCATAATATGTATTTCTTACTTTACACTCTATCTCAATTCCAAAAGATATGAGGTGCTACTTTTTCACATACAGTATTAAAAGTCATAGATAACTGAAATCTATAATTAATCCAAAAAATGTCATGTAGTTGAAAGAGCATTGTACTAGAAGCCAAGAGGTGAAGGTTCCAACTCTAGTTCTTTAACCAAATAGTTATATGATATTAAAGCACACACTCTCTCTAAGCTTTTGTCTTTCTTTTCTTTTTTTCTCATTGTAAGGTAATGACAATTGTCTAGACCAGCAGTTCTCAACCTGTGGATCGAGACCCCTTTGGGAGTCAAACGACCCTTTCACAGGAGTCGCCTAAGACCATCAGAAAACACATATATAATTACATATTGTTTTTGTGATTAATCACTATGCTTTAATTATGTTCAATTTGTAACAATGAAAATACATTCTGCATATCAGATATTTACATTATGATTCATAACAGTAGCAAAATTACAGTTATGAAGTAGCAATGAAAATAATTTTATGGCTGGGGGTCACCACAACATAAGGAACTGTATTAAAGGGTAACGGCATTAGGAAGGTTGAGAACCACTGACCAAGACAATTGCTGATTATGAAAATCTATGGAACTGGCTATTTCTAGACAAGCATTTCATAAAGGTTGTTCTAAGGGGTGCTAACAATTCTTTTGTTGGTGGTGGGTTTCTTTGCTGTAGGAATTGTAGAAAACATTGGGTTTTCTGCTGCCTGCTCAACACTTTCTTCCCTGCAAGCACAACCAATCCTATTTGGACAATAAGTAAACATAAATGAATTAGAATAGCTTCTAGAACTTAAGTGCTCAATAAATGTTATTTGTTAATTAACTAGAATCAAATATATGTTGAAATCCTGAAACATGTCAAAAAGTAACATTGGTTCCACAAAGAAGACTTGGACAATTCCTGAACTAGGTAATTTTAAAGTGCAGATGGCCTCTGTGAGTCTGATTCTTTGCTGTTTCACCTGGTGTTTGTTCCACCATGTCTCTTCTTTTAAATAGGCTATTTAGCAATCTCTAGGCTATACAGTAAAAAGCATCAAATAATTTTAGAAACTTAGAATCTTTAAGTGTTCCAATGATTTGCTAGTTAGGGCTGAGTCAGGACTTACTCATTTAGCATTACATTAGAAAATCCATTAGAAAATAAATGGTAGGAAATTATTTAGATGAATGAAGTTGGAATTATGTGGTTGCCCACTTGATTTAAAACTCTTCTTACAAATTAAAAATATATACCCCATTAGCGTATAGGGCATAAGACTATAAACCTTTTTAGGCGAGTGGAACATTTCTTCAATGCATTTTGTACCACTTTATTGTTGAATAAGGAATTAAGACATTTATTTATTGTACATCTACTGTACTGTCTTGAAGATTTGGACAAGGCATCAAAACCAAGGTTAATATTTGAGCTTGAGCTTAAAGGGTGCATATGTTCACCAACTAGACAAGAGGCAAAGGGGTGAGCAGCTAAAGGGAACAGTACCTATAAGGCAGGGAGGTTTGAAAACAAGTGACAATTGGGGCCCTGGTAAGTGTTTCATGGTGGCTGCATGTGAAGGTGACTGTAGGGTGTGGCCAGGAATGAAAGTGAGCAGAGGAAGTAGCCAGGTCATGAAGAGCCTGTGAGTATGAACTTTCTGCATATTCTGTGCATAAATATTTCATCTTGGAAGATACAAAAAGAACAGCAGGGGCCATAGTAGGGAAGGTAGTTGGTTTTTAACAGAATACTGTTGTTGATTACCTTGTGTTGGAAAAAGAGATATAAAAATTATACTGAACTTTGAGTATATTTTAACCCCCAATATCAGTCAAAATTTTTGGTGATTAATATGACCCAATCATAAAAATGCCTTGATTCCTAACATGTTAAAATTGTGTCTCCTTAAGTGAGACAAGCAGGAGAGCTGGGGAGGATTAAATTCCCTGGCTTCCCGAAGGGTCTCAAGAAAGAAAAGAACTGAGAATAAGTGCTTGTTTTTGCTGCACCAGCCTGGGAGGGCGTCTGAGCCCCATGACAAGCAGGGCCAGTTCCAATGGCCTGGGGGAGCTGAGCAGGGAGCAGGGCGGGGCTCTGTGTTTGGTATTGTATGTGCACAGTGTTATGATGAATCGCTGGGACACAAATGCTGCTGCTTCTCCAACCTCCCCTCCCACTCTACATGTAAACAGGATCTCTGGGGGGTCTGGCAGCACAGCCCCGGGAGGAGCCATGGCTATGGGCTGCTGCCATGCACATCCCTCCATCCTGAGATGACGCCTGCCCAACTTATGACCACATCCTGCCCTGCGGCAACAAAAAACAAAACAAAACTGGAAAACACCAAAGCTGGCTGTGTTGCTTCCTTCTTCCATTTGTCAGAGAAACTACATACATAGGCTTTTTCTTTGCTTTTAAAGTTCAAGATATGAAAAGTACTCAATCTGATGGGATGCTGAGGGTAGATAAGGGATGATTTTGTCATTGTTCATCCCTGCCCAAATTCCTCCAGCGAATTCTGAGGAGCCACCTGCATCAGCTTACTAATGAGTTTGGACACGGTTGTCCACGCAGTAGGACGCCGCTGGAAGTTGTTAAGCCGGGGCCATATAATCAGGTTTGTGACTTAGGAAGGCGGCGCTGGCAGAGCAGGGCTTGGAGAAAGCAGCACTGTCCAGAAGGGGTCCGATGGAGGCCTTGCAAGCATCTGATTCATGATAAAGGTCTGGGTTGCTGCAACGGTGTGGACATGACGGCTGGAGAAAGTGGCCATGGTGGGAAGGAAAAGGAGGAGCTGGAGATGATGCCATGATTTCAGACCCAGTCTCTGGGAGGCACACTGATTGATCACCTAACAATGAGCTCATCTCACCCTTGAACCCTCAGCACGAGGGGGAATGGGACTTGAAGCCAACAAGTTAGCATTTGCAGGGTTTTCATATGTAGTCACAAAGTAAATCCCAGAAAAATTAAATCAATTATTTTATCTTTTTTTTTTTTTTTACAATAGCATATAAGAGGCACAGAGCCAAATTGTTCCTGACACTGGAGCCAGTGTCAAATCCTGGCCTTGACACCTAATAGTTTTGTGATTTTTGATGAGTTACTGAACTGCCCTGTGCCTGCCTTATCCCTTAAATAAAGGGAATAATGGAACCCAACTAAGTATGATGATGCTTAAGTGAGTTGTTATGAGTAAAGGATTTAGAATGATCCATGCATGGTCTTAAGCTAGTGCTTGTTGGGTAGTCACCATTAATGAATATTATTTCCTATCTCTGTCTTACCAAAAATCAGTATTGAAAGAGTAGAAAGTCCACTTGTAAAGAAGAGAAACCTCAGCTTACTTCCTTCTCTTCCTGCATTCAATGTTATGTTGCTCAGATGGTTCAACAAAAGAAACTACGAAAAATCTGAAGAAAAACAAACGTTTTCTCTGAGGATGCGCACAAGAAAGATAAAAACAAATTCCCAGACACGAGTACTCGGTGGTTTGGCCTTTTGAAGACCAAAGTGCTCGCTTATAAATGGAATATTAAAACAAGCAAAGGCAATTTTCCCCTTTCGTCTTCCCTTATTGCCTAATTTTCCTCCCAATCTCATTTGCATAATGGATAAAAAGGCATCCATTATGCAAATGAACGACAGGGCTGTGAAGTTGTTGAAGCCACAAACCTGGCTTCCCATGAAGAGAAGCCGCGATGAAGCCGCCCAGTGTCCGGGTTCCAGCAGACTGCTTCTCTCGCTTGCATTCCAACAAACAGAGGAACATTATGAAGCCTGTACTAGTACAGATCATAGATCATTAATATCCACCTGGTTCTTCTAAAAGGGGCACTGCAGATGCTTTCCAGAAAATGAGTGCAAAGGACGGATACTCAGAATGGTCCTGTGTAAAGGAAACTTGACAGTATACACTTTGTTTCAAATGTGAAAAACTAGTACTATGTACAGTTTTTACAACTTTAAGCATATGCTTTGCTTTAAAAGGCAAAGTGGAAAAAGCCCCTGTTCTAGCTTGAGAATTAACCTATAACAGGTGCTCAGAGCTGTCTCAAAATGTCTGCATACATTCAATAGGAATAAAAAACTGTTTTAAGTACCAAAATATTGAACTTTTCAGAAACTTCATGCTGTTAAACTGACCTAAATTTATCTCTAAGAGGTATCACCAAACACTGACATATTATGTCTCTTACAATTGTCAATTCACTGAAACTTGAGAAGAATGTTTATTTTCTCCTTCTATCCACACCTTTAAAACAAATATAACAAAAGAAGAATTCTGAGCTCACTCACTGGGTCAGTTGCTCTTGTTTTAATAAACCAGTAGGGCAGAATTAAGAAACTAACTTCAAAATGTTTGCCCCAAACTCTGAGATATGTAGTTTGGGGAGAAAAAGAAGGTGGCAAAAACAGACGTGACCTTTATTCCTAGAGTGGATTCCTTGATCAAGCTTGGCTTATTCCAAATGACGTTTTCAGGGACTTAAAAAAAATGATTCTCATAAGCTATGGATGAACCTCATCACGTGCATTCCAATCCCTCCCCTATGATACTTCAAGGGCACACAGTTCAGATTCCGATTCACCTGCCATTCAAGAAAAAAATGCTATCCACTTCCCTGAGCCTCAACAACTGCAAGGAGCTATGTAAACAACAACAATAATAGTAATAATAATAATAATAATAATAATAATAATATAGAGAAGAAACCAGTTTGTATTTTTTAAAGAAAGATGACTAACAAGGTAAGTCACAAAGTAGGAGCAACTCATAGTCAGCAAGGGGATATATATCCATCAGGTGAAAAACATACCACAGAAAATACACATACCTAGCTTCAGAGCAGAAGGGGTTACTTCAATTTCCCCACCAACTGGTTTAAAGGCAGCCAGTTGGGCAGCCACTTCAGTCTCGAAGGCATCTGGGCTCTGGCGACCTGCTGGGTTTCCTCCGGGGCTCTCGATCTTGAGGAGTGGTTCTTGTTCGTCAAACACGGCAATCAGCTACAAACAAACCCAGCAACACCAATTAGTGCTCCATTGGACACACACATCACCTGGAGACTGTATCTAGCTGTGATCTTTGGTTTCAATAAAAATGGCCTCTGAAAACTTACAATGTTAATGTGACTGTACCCACAACTTTTAATTCAGTATTATGTCTAAAAGCACCATGGCCAGGAAATAATGAACAGTGTATGTGTCCTGAAATAGAGAACCAACTTTGGTTATCTCTCTCAAAGGAATGAAATGGTTGCCTCCTCCCTTCCCCTTTTCTAATAAGCCTGAAAGGACTCCAGTGTTGCTTCTAAGAGTTGCTCCAAAAACATAAAAGTTGGACATGCAGAAATAGAATGGTAGATATGATGAATTCCATAATTACATCTTTCCTTTTAGACACAATCATAATAAACTGACAAAATGTGAATATTTACACAGAATTTGTATTTACCTTGTACACACACACAGATAACCCATTTTCATACATGCCTTTAGGTTTGTTCTTTTCCCACATGACTGATCTATGTTGACTGGTCTAAGTCCAATGAATTTCAATTTCAATGAGAATAAGCATCAGCACTTTAACCTAATTATTCCCATCTTCATCTCAATTTTATTTCACGGGAGACCTATGCTTCTTGTCATAAATATAAAAATGTTTGTCAATTTCCAAGTCATTTTTCATAAAATAAGGGCAAAATATCATAAAATATTCCATTCATTGTGCAAACATTGCTGTGTAAAAAGTGAGGCAACCCGGCTGAAACTGCATTTTTGGCCAGCGGACAGCACCACCATCAGGGAACCTCCGATGCCCCTTATCACTGATGTGGAAAAGTCCAAACGTGAGGGCAGCTCAGGGATGCCCCTGTCCGCCCAGGAAAAGTGCAGTGTGTGTGCAAATTTGAAAACCGCTAGTAAATCTCTATATATTTTTCATTCATTAAATAAAACAAACCTACTTATGATTCAAACATTTATTCAGGAAAAACACTCAAAACCCTATTCATAGGGGAACCTTGTTGGCGATAGTATTAATGACACAAGCTCAGGGGTAACCAATCAGAACATCATACATTCCAAGTTCAATCTTTCAGAAGAAATGAATACAATTAGGGATATGTAAATTGGCTATTCAAAAATGATTTTCATAATTGACTACTCATTTCCAGTATGGGGACTTGTTTAATTGGAAAATCCAACAATCCTCTCACCACAGGAAACAAATGCTAGTCCCCAGACATTATTTTTAATTCTTAAAATTGAACACACACATTTTCTATCTTTAATCGGCAGCACTGATGAACTGGTTTCAGAGAAGACTTAAATAGATAAATAATGAAAGATTATTCTAGGATAAGAATAATCCCTAGAACTATATTTATCTAATCATCTGGCCAAAGTGATGTTTAACACTGTAAATCCTGAAAATGAAAATAAAAACAATTTTTAAATATGGTGGAAGTATTATTTTCATCACTATTTCTGTGACAATTGTAATTTCAACTTTATATATTGGTAAATTCTAACACATGTTAGTAACATTTATTTTAATGCATCGATCAACTAAAAAAAGTGGCTTATTATATGGGTAGTATAAACAGTTTCATGTAAATTAAAAATCATACCTTACTTTTCCCTTTTGTTATATCCTTAACTCAATATATCCTGTATATCTTAAATATTGGGGCAAATAAGAAAAATAAAATACTAATCTAAAGTATAATACAAAAGCTTAGCCCAGCTGGTATGCACCACTGTTGAGCATCAACCTATGAACCAGGAGGTCACATTTTGATTCCTGATTCCATGTCAGGGCACGTGCCTGGGTTGCAGGCTTGATCCCCAGCAGGGGGCATTCAGGAGGCAGCCAATCAATGATTCTCATCATTGATGTTTCTATCTCTCTCTCCCTTGCTCGTCCTCTCTGAAATCAACAAAAAGCTTAAAATTGGTAACTCATAAATCATTATCTATAGCTGCTATATAACATTTTTTTATTGAAATACTTTACTGATAACCATCAATATATATATAAGGCTGATATGCTAAGTGTCCCTCCAACAGTCCAACTGGTCACTATGATGTGCATTGACCACCAGGGGGCAGACACTCAATGCAGAAGCTGCCATGACACACACTGGCCATTTACAAAGAAATGACACTGCAGACCTGGCACCAACAAAGCAACAATCAGCTTCCCCCAAGTGGGACACAGGCCTTGCCACCACTGCGGAGCGACAGCCCACCAAATCACAGCCAACACTGGCAAGATCCCATGGCGCAAAATGCAGCCCACAACCCAGCCCAGCCCGAAAATGGTCACTGTGGGCAACGGGTAATGACGTCACATAGCAACACCCGGCTTCCTCTCGCTAGCGACTAGCCTTTTTGCAGTTTCTTCAGCCCAGGAACATGACTTGCTTTATAGCCAGGTGCAAACATTTTACATTTCAACCAAATGTCTGTGAAAGTGTTTTCCCGTGCCTCATTTCATTTGATCCTCACAGAAGTCCTGGAGTAGGTAGATAGGAGACTTGGTAGAATCCTATTTTTTTTTCCATTAGTTGGAAAATGGAGATTTAGAAAGTTTAGAAACTTGACCCAACTGAAAAGAAGTAAGAAATGGTGGACCTTGAAAATGACTTCAGGTTTTCTGACTGCAGAGGATATTGTCAAACACTGTTACAATTAAATATTTTACCCTTTGTTCTCTTTGTGTGATCTACAATAATAATCTGCTTTGTGTTTATATTTACTGCTGTGTTGCTGACAATTACCTGAAAGAGAAGTTGGGGTGCTTCACTGGGCTGGAAAAAGTTTAGCTAAATCAGAAAGCAGGTCTAATTAAGCAAGTTTGTTCTATATCTAAAAAAGACTAAATTGACTTTCACATGCCCAATACATATAAAGCTCTTGTTGGTACCAGTTGTATGCGTGTGTTTCAATCTGCCATTGTCGATTGTGAATTTGGTTGACACTTCTATTATGGAGAATGGGTGAATAGTGCTATTAAAATATTTCTTCTAAATAATTTCCTTTCAAAGTGCACAAATCCATGCACCGGGCCACTAGTACTATTCTATTAACACAAGTTTATAGAGTATGCAGTAACAATGTTATACCAAATAATATATGAAATGCAAGAACAAAGTAGTTTGGAGACTGCGTTGTCCAAGTGAACCTTGTTTTTTTAATTTCCAATGCAGTGTCTCAGATCACACTGTAACCATCTTCCAAAAAGGAAGGTGTACAAGACTAGGCTGCACTGTGGAATATTTGTAGTTATCCAGGAGGACGCTATGGCCTAAACTAAGAATGTGAACATGACTCTATGGAGATACAGGCAATACACAACTCTTCCCAAAGATGATGCTAGTGAGATCTGGAGGCTCCCAAATCTCATGATCTCTCTGACTAATTAGTTGCTTAGTCTGTCTCTTAAAACCAGGACAGACAGGAATGATCTCTGTACAGCCCATTCTGAATGTATGGATGAAGGGCTGAATGAATGATATAGAGTCTCTACCCATGGAAGGAAGAAGATCGGTTTCTGAGTGTGTGATGCCCAAGGTCACTGGCAGCGCAGGTGCTGGCTGAGGAGACTTCAGTCTTCAACTCCACTCTTCAATGCACACAGACGCACACTTGTTTCAACACTGATAATTAATTTCCACCATGTGTTGTAGGTGCTTATTAGCTAGATTGCTTGATTCATCAGAACACTTACATTACTAGGTGACAGAGTTCCTAGAACACAGTGTTACAGAGATGAATATGTTAATTAACATAAACCACCGCTCTAGCTCCTCAGCAGAAGGCATGCTGACTTCCAAAGTGTCCATTGTATGCCAGTGGCCTCCCCTCCCTGCCTTAAACCCATTCGAAATGACCTCTACAGCAGAAATGAGTTCAACGTCAAAGAAGAAATTCTATTAAATTTGTGGTGAAGGTTTCATCCAGCCTAACCGTCTGTGGCACGCAGAAGATTTTTTCACTGACCCCTTGGAGACTGCAGTAACCTAAACTGTATGCAAAAGGCAAGTAGGCAGTATCTGACTTGGACCCATCCTCTTCTGCTGCCCTATCCATCTCTGGCGCCCCTGCTTCTCTCCTGTGATGCCAGCATTCTCATGTCACCCAGGGCAGCACTGGCATTTCCCACAAAGACCATGGTCCCAAATGATCTTTTCACACAGCCTTGACTTCTAATCAAAACTCCTGTCCCTGCAGACCTCTAACAGTAACTGGGTACCTAATCCCCATATATGCCAGGAAGATCAGCCTACAAATATGCTGTTCATTCTCGCACCCAAAACAAAAACCCAAACAAGCCAACCTTCTCAGGACTCACCCTTACAGGTGCCACCCAGTAAAATCTGAAAGAGCTAGGCACAGAGCAGTTCCAGTCTCTCTCCTTCATTCCTTTACTGAGGTCACTAGTCATTGACCTCCACTGAAGCCGGTCTTAACAAGTCAGAAACAATCTGCAGGCTGCGAAATCCAAAGCCGACCTTGGGCTTGTTTTTAGGACACCATTAACCATTGCATCCTCTTTACATCACTTTCTTCACTTCCTTTCGAGGAAATACATTCTCTGTCTCTTTAAATATATTTTTTTCCAATTACAACTGACATTCTATATTATATTAGTTTCAGGTGTACAGCATAGTGATTAGATATTGATATAACTTCCAAAGTGATTACCCAGATAAGTCTAATACCCATTTGACACCATACATAGTTATTATACTACTAGAGGCCCCATACATGAAATTTTGTGCACTGGGGGATGGGGGGTGTCCCTCAGCTTGGCCTGCGCCCTTTCACACTCTGGGACCCCTCCCTCCTTACCACTGGCCTGCAGCGGAAGTGGGAGAGGCTCCTGCCACCGCCACTGCCCTCGCCATCTTTGAGCCTGGCTTCTGGCTGAGCGGCATGCCTCCTGTGGGAGCGCACTGACCACCAGAGGGAAGCTCCTGCATTTAGCATCTGCCCCCTGG